TAGTAGAGACGGGGTTTCACCATGTTGACCAGGATGGTCTCGATCTCTTGACCTCGTGATCCACCCGCCTCGGCCTCCCAAAGTGCTGGGATTACAGGCTTGAGCCACCACGCCCGGCAGAAAAACATAATTCTTAAATTCACAGTGAGTTGTCATTTAATACCCATTAGATTGGCAAACATTTTTTAATCAGCTTGACAGTGCCGAGAATCGTTGCGATCGTGAAGCAATGGGAATTCTCATACTAAACTACTAAAGGTGTAAGTTGTTCATCACTTTGGAGAGCAACTTGACAATATCTGGTAAAATCCAGGTTGTTCATATGCTTACAACACAGCCTTTTAACCTGGAGATCACCATCTATAGGTAATTAAATTAGTTGAAAGGATCACAATGCGTGTGTGTGATGGTTTTGGTTTTGTATTGTTTTGTTTTTGTCGTTGTTGTTTTGAGGCAAGATCTCGCTCTGTCACCCAGGCTGGAGTGCAGTGGCACATTCAGGGCTCACTGCAGCCTTGACCTCCTGGGCTTAAGCAGTCCTCTTGCCTCAGCACCCTCCAGTAGCTGGGACTATAGGCATGCACCACCTTACCTGGCCAGTTTTTTTAAAATTTTAGTAGAGACAAGATCTCACCATGTTGCCAGGCTGGTCTTGAACTCCTGAGCTCAAGCAATCCTCCCACCTTGGCCTCTCAAAGTGCTGGGATTATAGCATGACATACCATGCCCCCCACCCGGTATATTTTTTAGTGTAATAGAAGAAACTGAAGGCCGGGCACGGTGGCTTATGCCTGTAATCCCAACACCTTGGGATGCTGAGGCGAGCACATTGTTTTGAGCCCAGGAGTTTGAGTCCAACCCGAGCATCATGGTGAAACTCTGTCTCTGCAAAAAGTAAAAAAATTAGCCAAGGCATGGTGGCACACACCTATAGTCTCAGCTACTTGGGAAGCTGAGGCAGGAGAATCACTTGAACCCAGGAGGCAGAGGTTGTAGTGGCGATCGCACCACTGCACTACAGCCTGGCGACAAAGCGAGACTCCATCTCCAAAAAAAAAAAGAGAAAAAGAAATTTTTGGTAGAGATAGGGTCTCACTGTGTTGCCCAGGCTGGTCTCAAACTCCTGGCCTCAAGTGATCTTCCTGCCTTGGCCTCCCAAAATGCTAGGATTGTAGTCATGAGCCATTATACCCAGCCTGGCAATGTTTAAAATAATAAAAGTAAAGAATGACAGAGGAGAAAACAGAGGCACTAAGTGGACGCGCTAAATTTGGCTGTGAAGAGATACAGAAATGGAGTGTTATGGAGGGGGATATAGGTAAAAAGATTATTTTTGTTTTTTTAAGACGGAGAATATACTATAGCATGTTAGTAAGTTTCTAGGAAAGCGCCAGTGGAGAGGAGATAAGTGATTTCAGGAGTAAAGAGATAACCGAAAAAGCAAAGTCCTAGACTGTTGCCCACCTAGTTTGTCAGCAACCAGTCCGTCTTCCCTCTAGTGTATCCTCCCCAGCACAGGCTGCTTAGTTTTTCCAAGACATAACTTTGTTCTTACCACTTTGACCCCCAGAAATCTTTAATAACTCATTTTCCTGTGTTACCACACTCCTCAGGCTGGCATTGGAGACTGTAGCCCCATTTCATTCTTCTCTCCACAAACCTCTTTTACCAGCTAGAAACATGTGTTCACTCTTTCCCAGCCACCAAGAAACCCTTTTACATTGCTTGGCACATTCTTTGGCACATTCTTTACTTATTTCACCCCTATGTCATTGTTTTCTAAATATTCCCGACCCACATGGACCTAGCACTGAACTACTGCAATGTGGAGGAGCATTTATGTTGCACTAGGCACCTATGTGCTATATTGTATTTTTATTCATTTCAGTGACTCATCATTGTTCATAGAAAGAGCATGGCTCTCAGAATCACACAGACTTGGAGTTTTTCAAATATGTATGAAAATAATGTGTGTTTGAATGTTTTATGGCAAACAATATAAGCATATACATATAATAAAAGGTAAAAGTCTTCCTCTACATTCATAATTTATCCATTCTCATACCCCAAGAGTGACAACTGGGAAAGGTTAATATATTTTTCCAGACCTTTTTCTGTGCAAATGCAAATCTAGATAAAGAATATTAGAAGGATTTGTATTTTATTAATCATATAAGTGTGTATATATTATAAATATGTATATGTCCTGCATTGTTTATTTAGCAGTTTAGCATGGGTCCTTCCACATTGGTATGTACAGCTCTACCTCACTTGTTTTTTAATAGGATAAGGGCACCAAAATGTAACTTTTACCTTTCTAAAGGATATTTAGATTTTCTTCACTTGCTATAAACTGCTGAGTGACCATCCTCGTGCCTATATTCTTGGACATTTGTGTGTAACACAGCTTCTTAAAGTGAAGTTAAAATGGGTTTTGGTTAAAATGGGTTTTGTTTTTGAATACTGGCTTTTCCCAGCTGTATAGCTTTGAACAAATTAATTTCTGAGCCTGCTTCCTCATCTGTAGAATAGATATATAATAACTCAGAGTTTTGTGATGATTAAATGACCCAAGCACACCAGCTGTCAGGCAGTAAGCCTTCATTCCCTGCCCTGTGAGTTGTCTTTCCAGTTAGAGGATAAACTTCAGGAGGAGAGCAGTGCCTTAAAATCTCTGCATAGATCATGTTACTTTTATTGCACTGATTAAGACTCAGAAAGTTACCCAGTTGATTGTTTCCTTTAATCCACCTACAGGATCGCCAAGGATCCAAGATTTGAACGATTACCATGTACACACAAAGGAACCTATGCAGATGACTGCTTAGTACAGAGAGTAACTCAGGTATTATCAGTTCATACATGTTTACTTTGTGTTTTAAAAAAATAAACTATTATCTCTTGAATGTTTGGTCGGTAAAGTAGGAATATACATTGTGGTTTAAAAAAAAAATTGTGGCTGGGCACGGTGGCCCACTCCTGTAATCCCAGTACTTTGGAAGGCTGAGGTGGGTGGATCACAAAGTCAGGAGATCGAGACCATCCTGGCTAACATGGTGAAACCCCGTCTCTACTAAAAATACAAAAAATTAGCCAGGCATGGTGGCACACGCCTGTAGTCCCAGCTACTCGGGAGGCTGAAGCAGGAGAATGGCTTGAACACGGCAGGTGGAGGTTGCAATGAGCTGAGATAGCACCATTGCACTCCAATCTGGCAACAGAGGAGACTCCATCTCAAAAAAAAATTACATAGCATTCCTTCATAAGAAGCGTCTAGGTGTCCTCATTTACTTGAGAAAGTGGACTGGACTGAAAATGTATGCTCTAACCATAATGGAAAGAGCACAGACTTGGGGAGGAGACATGGGTTTCATATCTCAGCACCTGCGTTTACTGGCTATGTGATTTGGGACACTTAACTGATTCTTTATTTCACAAATCTCTGTAAAATGGTTTTAAGTGAGTTAATGTAGAGCCCATTTACTTTTGATGTAGGAATTTTGTTCCTTGTCACGATGCCTAATCCAAAAGTGCTTCTTAGTTATATCTGAAAGTCTCCCAAGGTGCCATCTCACACATACCCTAAAATAAGTAGGTTTTTAATTCTTTCATTAAGCACCACAAGGATTTCTTGCTACTGAGTGCTTTTATAAGGGCCTCTCTCTGCTGAGGATAATCTTCATCTGGTGACCACAGAGCCATCCCTTTAGCCACTTCACCGGTAGGTGGGGCCAGGATTTCTCTTAATTTCCCACAGCACAGCTGACACCACTCTGCCCCTTTTTATAAAACTCAGTAGGAGAGTCAGACATGATGGAAGTGAAGCTTCATACAAAATAGCTTTCAACTGACAGCTAAATGTTACTGCTTTTGTAACTGCTAGGCTCTAGTTTCAGGCCCTGAAGATCTTATTTAGGCTTCCTGTTTCAGGGGTAACCAACCTCTAACACCAGTAGGCCTCAGAGCACACCTAAGCCCCAAGATCCAGGGAAAGGAGGGAGCTGTGCCCTCCAAACTAAGGCACTTTGTATTTCATGGAGGTCCTCGGAGCATTTTCCCAAAACTAAAGAATTGTTTGCCCTAAGTTTGAAAGTCCCTCTCATGAGGAGAGAACAGTTTGCAGCTTGTAAATAGTTTTCTACCTTCTTTCCCTCAAGATTCTTAATGCTCCTTTCAGCCCAGGCCACTTGTTGTTTATTTTATGTAACAAGATTAAGAGCTCCTAGATCATAGTAGCTACTCAACAGATTGTTATAGCCTGCCCTTCACTACTCACTGTGAAAATGAAGGATTCTCAGACTAGTCACTAATCGTGCTCAGTGACTTCATTGTGAACATCACTCCATGTCTCTTACAGCATAAGTGTTACATTGTGGCCACAGTTGACCGGGACCTTAAAAGAAGAATTCGTAAGATTCCTGGAGTTCCTATCATGTACATTTCTAACCATAGGTGAGAAATTTCTCTTGGGGAAGGGATTAGAAATACATAATTGATGTCAATTAAAAATGAGGACAAGTAATAAGGTTATAAAGGATTTGAAGGAAATTATTGTATCAAATGTTCACATAGTCATGTTTGAAGAAATAAGACAAAGCAAGAGCAAGGGCAAAAGAGAGAGACAGGATTTAGGAATGAAGCAGACATTTAAATTGTTAGAATAAAATTACTAGAAGAAATTGATGTATTGCTTTAAATAAAAGCAGTAATTTAGGTCAAGCTAATTTTTTTGGCCAGAAATATCTGTTTTGAAAGTTTTTTTTTTGTTTGTTTGTTTTTTTTAATTAACACCTCATCTGAGAAATGGAAAGCTTATTTTAAAAAAAAGAAGCTATTAATTATCCTTCTTGGCTATTTCCATGTGAGTCTTCAAGACTTCTTTTGCAGCTTTTCAGCTTGGGGAGAGCACAGTGTTGTAGGAAATCTGTGGACTAAGGAGTTGGGCTTAGCTGATCTCAGATCCTCAGTTCCCCTCTTGCTGACTTTGTGACTCTGAAAAATAACAATAATATTGTATTATAGTCAGCATTTTGTTGTAAATTATTCACTATGATGTTCCCCTAAAATATCCCCACTGACAAAAAGGATTCACCTGGGGGTGAGTACAATATGTAAAAGATGGGTTTTTGGATGGGTTCTCTACTCACGTTTCTTAACCAGTGTTAATTTTGTGTCCTGATCAGGTACAACATTGAACGGATGCCAGATGATTATGGAGCCCCTCGATTCTAATTCTTACAAGACACAGTTCCTTTCTGCTTTTCTTCGACGAACTTTCTCTTGTTGCCAGTCCATTATACATGCAATAGCGTGAATTATTATTCTGTTGACCTATTTGCTCTATTGTGAGCTGAGAATGGTTAAATATGCTCACTCTTTTTTTTTTTTTTTTTTTGAGGTGAAGTTTCACTCTTGTTGCCCAGGCTAGAGTGCAATGGTGCAATCTTGGCTCACTGCAACCCCTGCTTCCCAGGTTCAAACAATTCTCAGAATCGCTGCCTCAGCCTCGCGAATAGCTGGGATTACAGTCACTTGCCACCATGACCAGCTAATTTTTTTTTTTTGTATTTTTAGTAGAGACAAATACTTTCTTTTTTTCCTCAGGATGGAGTCTCACTTTGTCACCCAGACTGGAGTGCAATGGCACGATCTTGGCTCCCTGCAACCTCTACGTCCTGGGTTCAATCAGTTCTCCTACCTCAGCCCACCAAGTAGCTGGGATTACAGGCACCATGCCCAGCTAACTTTTGTATTTTTAGTAACTTTTGTATTTTTAGTACAGAAAAATACACTTTGGCCTCCCAAAGTGCTGGGATTAGAGGCGTGAGCCACCGTGCCTGGCCTTCTCACTTTTTGATGCTGTTTTGAAATGGATATTTTGTCTCGTAAAAATTTTAGGCCAGGGACGGTGGCTCATGCCTGTAATCCCAGCACTTTGGGAGGTCGAGGTGGGTGGATCACCTGAGGTCAGGAGTTCAAGACCAGCCTGGACAACATGGCAAAACCCCCATCTCTACTAAAAATGCAAAAAATAATTAGCCAGGTGTGGTGTCACGTGCCTGTAATCCCAGCTGCTGGGTAGGCTGAGGTGGGAGAATCGCTTAAATCCAGGAGGTAGAGGGTGCAGTGAGCCAAGTATTCCAGCCTGGGTGACAGAGTAAGACTGTCTCAAAAAAAAAAAAGAAGGAAAAATTAATGATTGTCAAAGGGTACAAAATCTCAGACAGGAAGAATATGTTTTATACTTTGAGTTCTGTTGTACAGTTTAATGCATATACTTTATTATACATTTTAAAATTGATGTTCTCATCACAGAAATATACTTGAGGTATTGGATATGTTAACTATTTAATTATTCCACATTATATCTACAATTTATGACATTACTTTGTAACCCATAAATTTATACAATTATAAATTGCCAATTTACAGTAAAAAAGTCATTACATCTGTTTAGAAATCAGATACTCTGATGATTGCTCACATAATTTGATGGCCATTGTTTTATACTGACTTACTCAATAAACATTTATTAAATGTATACTAGGTGCTTAATAAGATATGGTCCTGCCCTCAAGACATTCATGGTGGGAGAGAAAAACGTAAATTTATAAATACAGTAAAATAGCAGAGGTACTTCACAGGTACATAAAGGTGGAAAGAATGATTTTTTTCTACTGGTTGGGATGGGGAGGGAGGAAAGGCCAGAGGTTATGAGGTTTGAGCTCATCTTAAAATTGAATGGGTACTTGCCCAATAAATTAGGCAGAGAAGATGAAGCATAGGAAACAGTATGAACAAAGGGCAAGGATGCACAATGTTACATGGAGCGAATGTGCTTGGCCTGTTCAGATAGCTGCCAGGAGGTTTTTATGACTAGAAAATAGGAAATCATGTCATGGAAGGGGCCTGTACCCACATGAGACTCCTGAGGAAGGAGACAGGGAGGGGGATCTTACACGATATGCCACAGGGTCTGGACTTCATCCTTAGGTCACTTGGGTGCTATTGGCTAGGCACGGTGGCTCACCCCTGTAATCCCTGCACTTCAGGAGGCCAAGGTGGGTGGATCACCTGAAGTCAGGAGTTTGAGACCAGCCAGGGCAACATGGTGAAATCTTGTCTACAACTGAAAATAAAAAAATCAGCCAGGCATGGTGGCGGACACCTGTAATCCTAGCTACTCGGGAGGCTGAGGCAGGAGAATCGCTTGGACCTGGAAGGCGGTGGTTGCAGTGAGCCGAGACTGCACCATTATACTCAGGCCTGGGCAACGAGCAAAACTCCATCTCAAAAAAAAACAAGGTGCTATTAAAATTTCAAGCAGGGTGGATAACATGATCAGAGTAGGGGGATTTTGTTGTTTGTTTTTACAGGACAGGATCCTCTGTTGCCCAGGTTGGAGTGCAGCGGTGCAATCACAGCTCACTGTAGCCTCAATCTCCTGGGCTCAAGTCATCCTGCCTCGGCCTTTTCAGAGTAGCTGGAACTACAGGCATGTGCCACTACTCCCAGCTAATTCTGTTTTTGTGGAGACAGGATTTCACACTATGTTGCCCAGGCTGGTCTCAAATTCCTAGACTCAAGCTATCCTCCCACCTCGGCCTCCCAAAATGCTGAGATTGCAGGCATGAGCCGCTGTGTTCAGCCCAGATAAGATTTTTTAAATGATCACAGGTAGTGTAAGAATAAATAAATAGACCATTAAAACTCCATAGAAAATCCATTAACAAACCTATGTATAATCCCAGCACTTTGGGAGGCCAAGGGGGGCAGATCATTTGAGGTCAGGAGTTTGCGACCAGCCTGGCCAACATGGTGAAAACCCATCTCTACTAAAAATACAAAAATTAGCCTGGTGTGTTGGTGCACACCTGTAGTCCCAGCTACTCAGGAGGCTGAAGGAGGAGACTCACTTTAACCAGGGAGGCAGAGGTTGCAGTGAGCCAAGATGACACCACTGCACTCCGGCCTAGGCGATACAATGAGACTGTCTCAAAAACAAACAACAAAAAAAACCAACTAGATATTTGTGGGAATTTGGTATATGATTAAGGCGGTATTTCATTTCTGTGGAAAAAGGAAATTGTATTAAAAGGCCCAGTAGTCTGGAGTCATTCTGTTAGGGTTAGAATACTAATTCTACCAGTTAATATATGTATGAATTGGACAAACCACATAACCATTTGTTGCCTTCCTTGTTTCCTCTTTAAAATGTTTAATCCTCAAACCTGATAAAGTGAGATTAAATTGAATAATACCTGACCCAAGTAAGTGTTGTTCAGTAAATGTTAGTGATTATTATACAATGGCATGGTGGCTATCCATTTGGGGAGAAAAAAAAAATTGGCTGGGCACAGTGGCTCACACCTGTAATCCCAGAACTTTGGGAGGCCAAGGTGGGCAGATCACCTGAGGTCGGGAGTTCAAGACCTGACCAACATGGAGAAACCCTGTCTCTACTAAAAATACAAAAAAAAAAAAATTAGCTGGGCATGGTGACGCATGCCTGTAATCCCATCTACTCGGGAGGCTGAGGCAGGAGAATTCGCTTGAACCCAGGAAGCAGAGGCTGCAGTGAGCCGAGATTGCGCCATTGCACTCTATCCTGGGCAAAAGAGTGAAACTCTATCTCAAAAAAAAAAGAAAAAAATTAGATTCCCCACTTAACAGGATTCATAAGAATATTTCAAGTGGATCAAAGACCTAATTTTTTTTTTTTTTTTTTGAGACAGAGTCTCTCACTCTGTAAACCAGGCTTCAGTGCATTGGCACGATCATGGCTCATTGCATTCTTGATCTACCCAGGCCCACGTGATCCACTCCAGCCTCCCAAGTAGCTGGGAATTTTGTATTTCTTATAGAGATGGGGTTTTGCCATGTTGTCCACCTTGGCCTTCTAAAGTGTTGGGATTATAGGCATGAGCCACAGCACCCAGCGTAAACTTATTTCTAAGCTATGGAAGCATTAGGAAAGTAAATGTAAAGAAAGATGTGGCCATCACCTTTGGATAGAATTCTTAAATAAGCAGAATCTAAAAAGATTGACAAGTTTCAATATATTAAAATTATAGGCTTCTGTGCAAGACATTCCCCTTCCCTAAAAAACAAGTGACTGATCAGATTTTCCAACACGTATAACAAGGGTTTGGAGAAATGAGTACTAATGTCATGCTGACAGAAGTGCAAATATTTATGACCACTTTTTACAGCTGTTGGCAAGATACACTAAAATAAAAATTGTGGATATCTTGTGAGCCCAATTCTATTTTTTGGTTACTTAATAGGTATCATACAGGTGATTTACTTTAAAATACCTCTGCATGGACAATGTGGTATATCTGTGAAGAAACACTTACATGTGTACAAGGAAGCAGTTAAAAGGATGTTTACTGCACTGCTGTTTGCAAAAGAGAAAAACTTAAACAAATGTCCATCTAAAGGATCTTAACGTAGCTGGGCACGGTGGCTCACGCCCATAATCCTAGCACTTTGGAAGGCTGAGGTGGGTGGATTGCCTGAGCTCAGGAGTTCAAGACCACCCTGGGCAACATGGTAAAAACTCATCTCTACTAAAATACAAAAAAAATAGCCGGCATGGTGGTGCACACCTGTAGTCCCAGCAACTGGGGAGGCTGAGGCACAAGAATTGCTTGAACCCAGGAAACAGAGGTTGTGGTGAGCCGAGATCGCACCACTGCACTCCAGCCTGGCGACAGAGGGAGACTCCATCTCAAAAAAAAAAAAAACCGGCGGGGGGCAGTTAACTATGGAATGTCATGAACATCTACAAAAAATGAGATAGATTTAAGAATGGACAAAGGATTTAAACATTTCTCCAAAGAAGATATACAAATGGCAAGAAACAGAAAAGATGGTCAGTATCACTAATCATTAGAGAAGTGCAAATTAAAACCACAATGAGATACTACCTCACACCCCTTAGCCACTATTAAAAGAAAGAAGCAATAGTTTTTGTGAGGATACACAGTGTTTGCGAGGATATGTAGAAAGTATAACCCTTAGCTGTCCACTGCACGTGCCCATAGTTCCAGCTACTCTGGAGGCTGAAGTGAGAGGCCTGAGCCCAGGAATTCGAGGCTGCAGTGAGCTATGATTGTGCCATTGCGCTACAGCCTGGGCAACAGAGCAAGACACTGTCTCTAAAAAAAGGAAAGAAGCAAATCAGAGAACCCTCTGCATTTTAGTGGAAATGTAAAATGGTATAGTGGGAGGCAACGGTTGCAGTGAGCCGAGTTTGCACCATTGCACTCCAGCCCAGGCAACAAGAGTGAAACTCCAGCTGAAAAAAAAAAAAAGAAGAGTATTTGTACACCCATGTTGATCATGACATTATTTACAATAGCCAAGAGGTGGAAGCAACCTGAGTGTCCATCAACAGATGAATAGATCAACAAAACATGCTCTGTACAT